GATCAGCCCTGAGCTAACATCTGTGCTAATCCTCCTCTTTTTGCTGAGGAAGACCGGCTCTGAGCTAACATCTATTGCCAATCCTCCTCCTTTCCGCACCCCCCAAAGCCCCAGTAGATAGCCGTATGTCATAGTTGCACATCCTTCTAGCTGCTGCACGTGGGACGCGGCCTCAGCATGGCCAGAGAAGCGGTGCGTCGGTGCACGCCTGGGATCCGAACCCAGGCCGCCAGCAGCACAGCACGCGCACTTAACCGCTAAGCCATGGGGCCGGCCCCAAAAATAATATTTTAAAAGTTGCCCAGGGGTCTGACCCGGTGGTGTAGCGGTTAAGTGCACGTGCTTTGCTGCTGGCGGTCCAGGCTCGGATCCCAGGCGCTCACCGTTGTTCAGCTTGTCAGGCCATGCTGTGGCGGCATCCCATATCAAGTGGAGAAGGGTGGGCACAGATGTTAGCCCAGGGCCAGTCATCCTCAGCAAAAAGAGGAGGATTGGCATGGATGTTAGCTCAGGGCTGATCTTCCTCACAAAAAAATAAATAAATAAAATTTGCCCAGCCACATGCATGTTTAGTTTAGTTATAACATTGACTTTGAGGAAATGGTTCTGTGCTGTAAAGCAAGTCTGAGAACCCCTGTTGTAGGTCTTCATCCTCCTTTGAGAGATGACAGGGAGCAAAGTCCCAGGAGGGGGAAGTGACCGACTGAAGGTACCACAGAGTCAGGACACAGCCTGGACTGAGCCCAGGCCCTGATGGCCGGGCCAGCAAGAGGCCTGACATGTTGTCTAACACCCTCTCTGTGCTGGCTTCCTGGCGTCCCTGAGCAAGAGGTGAGCTTCTCTCAGACGTCTCCCTGGAGAGAGAACCTCGGGCTCCTGTGCAGCCACTCTGGGAAAACTACTCAAGATACCTTGGTCGGTGAGCTGAAGTGTGCTCATGGGCACATTTAGATGGAGGTGGGTAAGTACCCTAAATATGCTGATTCCTTCAAATCTCCTTTGTCTGTGGAAGTATCTCCCTGCCGCACTCCCCACCTTTGAGGAAACAATCCTTCTCTTGCTTAAAAATCTCTGTAACGAAAATTTGAAAATAAAAATACATAAAATATCTCTGTAATGACCTCAAGGAAAAGCCTCTATGCACAAAACCCACTCTCACCGCCTCCTTCCTTCCAGCCCCACAAGAAGAGTCAGGTCCCAGGATGTCGGGGAGAGAATTGCCAAGCCAGCTCCTGGGGGAGAGACGCCCAGAAGACTGTGAGATCTTGCTAATCTGTTTTGGGAACGTGTCTTGGGATGGCTCTGCCCTTCCTGCCCACCACCACACTTCTGCTGGGCCCCATCTTTGTGAACTTACAGAACTCACAGGGTTTATTTCCTGTCTGTGTATCCCACACAACACAGCTTTTGACCAGCAAACATATTTCACCATAAAACAAGTGCTGCAACGGGTTCCTTTTTATCATAGGCCTATTGCTAGACTACATTCCTCATCCACAGATTCAGGAAGCTCAGTGAACCTCGGGAGGACAAAGAAGGCCACATCTAAGCACATAATAGTCAAAGTAGTGAAAACCAAAAAGGAAGAGAAAAAGCTACAAGTAGACAGAGAGGAAAATATTATTTTGGGAGAAACAACAACAAGAACAACAATGAGCTCCCATCAGAAATAGTAGAAGTTGGGGGGCCGGCCCCGTTGCTTAGTGGTTAAGTATGTACATTCCTCTGCTGGCAGCCTGGGTTTGGATCCCGAACACGCACTGACACACTACTTGTCAGGCCATGCTGTGACAGTGTCCCATATAAAGTGGAGGAAGATGGGCACACATGTTAGCTCAGGACCAGTCTTCCTCAGCAAAAAGAGGAGGATTAGCATGGATGTTAGCTCAGGGCTGATCTTCCTCACAAAAAAAAAAAAAGAAAAGAAATAGTGGAAGTCAGAAGACAGTGACATGACATTAGTAAGTGGTTGAAAGTAAAAAAGAAATAAGCAACCTATTTCTGGAATTCTATGTCCAGTGAAAATACTGTTCAAAAATGAAGGCAAAATAAAGATGTTTTCAGAAAAACAAAGGTAAGAAAATTTGTTGCCATCTGACCTGCACAGCAAGAAATACTAAAATAAGTTCTGCAGGCTGAAAAGAGATGATCCCCACTGTTGGCAGGAAGGAGAAAAGAAAAAGAAAAATGTCAAATGTGACTAAATTTAAAAGACTTCATGTAGATTTCTTTCAGATTAATGACTAAGACAAAAATGCTTTAGGATTTTGGCATATTTTAGTAAAATGTATGACAAAAATAACTCAAAGGCTGGGAGGGAGGATAAATGGAAATACATCATTACAAAGTTCTTATATGAAGTGGTATAACATTAATTCAAAGTAGACTGTGATATGTGAAGGAGGCGTATTGTAATTCTAGAGTAACCATTACAATAATACACAGAGATATGACTAAAAGCCAATCAGATAGCAATATGATATTCTTCAACTGAACCCTATCAGTAGTTGCATTAAATGTAAGCAGATTAAACACACCAACTAAAGGGCAGAGATTTCAGTCTGGACAAAAAATGCAAAACTCAATTTTGTGCTGTTTATAAGAGACACTCCTAAATCTAAAGACATGGATATGATGAAAGTAAAATGGCAGGAAAAAAAAAGATATATCGTGCAACACGAATCAAAAGAAATTAGCCTTGCCCATGGAGTGTGCTGCTTCACTTTAGCATTTTTGGCCACCTGTGAGATCAGACAGAGTGTCTCAGTAGAATTTTTATTTCCATTTTTCCCTATTTTATTTCCATTTCTCTTAATATGAGTGAACTTGTTCCATTATTTTTTAAGTGTATTTTACTGTGAACTATCAGGTCTTTCACCCATTATT